AAAGATGGGAGGGAGGGGAGAGCTAATAATGATCAGAATAATAAAGCAATACATTGCCAGAGAGACACGCTTGTTGTGACATGAGATTTGTGTCATACCAGGTAAAGAATAATCTTTGTTTATTCGACTTCGGTTTTATTTTCATTGATTTGTCTGTCATTCAGCAGGATAATGATCTCATAACTCAGTAAAGTGAGATCTGGGAACACACTAACATGAGCAGTCAGATGATATGGTGAGTATAGTTTTTACTCTTGGATTAATTATAAAGTTATAAAAATCAAGTTTCTTACTAAACACGATTTCAGGCTCTAAGGAATTCCTTAAATATTCCTTCCATATAAAAAAATTTATACAATAGTCTCATTGGAACAATGATGTGCCTCTGATATATTTTTTTCTGAAAGAAAAGTCTAAAATTTCCACATTAAAATCCACATTAAAGTCATCTACTCCTTCTACCTAATTAAATATTCTCTAAATATGCAAATGCTGTTGATTTCTAAAGTTTTCCTGCTGGACATAAGATGTCTCCTACTTCACTGTAAAGTCCATTCACAGTGGATGTGCACTGATGGCTTCAAGTTTCTAAATCACACTGTACAAGTTGCATACTGGATCGTACCAGATACAATTTTCAAAATAAATACCACTTGCAGACCCGTATTTCATGCTAGATCAACACTGTGGCACCAGCCCAGAAGTCAGTCAGTCAGTCAGTCAGAGGCAGGTTAGAGGAGATTTTAAGTGGAGAAATACATTGTTTTGTTTTGGACAAAATACACAAGTAAAGAATGTAAGGCAGGAGATGAAGATGCTCTACTACTGAAACGCTATTGGTGGGATGTGCAGATCATGGAGTCAAACCGCAACGCAGACGGGACGATATAAAGCGCTGGGATTTTTGGGTGAGTAAAACAGAATGTCAGGCTGCGTTTTATTTTAGTTTTACTATGGTAATAAAATGTTGAAATGTCAATCTGTGAAAATGTATACATAAGTAAAGACAGTTCATAAAGTCAGAAAAGTGACTTAGTTCTTCTAAAAGTTTGCTAACATTATCCACCATAAGCCACTGGTGATACCAGGGCAAGGGTTTGTCTTTTCTCACTCAGGGATTTTGCTTTTCATTTATAAGAGCTAGAGCAAGCATTATGCAATGAAATGTAAACAC